ATCCTGACACCAAAGCCTAAGTCATATTCCTAAAGTTTTACAATAAGTAAAACTATTTCTAAATCTTGCATCTTTAACTCTGCACCTTGATCATAAGTCCTATTCCCAACATAGTAAACCATCTACATTTTGCTGTCTTCTGATTATACAGAACGGCTTAAAATCCCTATGTTAAATTTCATCTTCCTATAGGAAACTTCATAGACAGATTAAACATGTTTATTTTGTTATTAATTATCGTTAATACGTAGAATAATAGTAAATTACAAGACTGCACGTTAGATTGTGACGTGATGCCAACTGAAGATTCATTGAAATGTGGGATCCAACTGAAGGGTCAGTTGTAGTTGTTTTAAGCTTCTAACAGTTTTTATTTAGGAAATTTACTCTGGATGGTGTCAATATGAAATCTGAATTCAATTTCATTAAAATCTGATGCAGAGGTTAAAATATATCATGCTCTTTGGAATGTTTAAATGATTATACGTACGATGTTGATCGGATGAGTTCTATTCACCAGTCATAAGTTATTAAAAAAACAGTTAGTCATTGATAAACTTACGACGAAAATGGATTTCAACGAAAGAAATAATTTTCACTGACACATGATGACATTATGTGAACATTCATATTATACAAAATGAGGTGCTAATCAGTGATTATCAATAGTCAACCTCGAGAACTAATCCTTTCTTGAAAATCCTATTAATATCCTTAAAAAGAGACAAATTCATTGGTAAGGCAGTATAAAATAAAATATATTTACAAAGACTGTTGTGAAGGTGAAAGTTATTTATGAAGAAAATTAGAAACAAGAAGTGTATGTTTTTCACTATCTTTTTATTTGTATACCAAACTCCCATACATTTCAACACAGTGGACATAACGTTGAGCCACCTAGAAAAGTGACCACATTACAACATGATCGATAGCTTACGATTAACACTAAAGGAAGAACTAAACATTAGTCAATAACTACTGAACAATAAATATCTCAATCCAAACAAAAAATAATCACTACTACTATTTCTACTACTAATATTATTATTACAACTAGAACTACTTATTATTTGATATTCATTTGTTAACTGTTCAATAATAATTGGTAATAATCACCATACACTGTGACGATTATTGTTGCATGGAAGTCATACAATTATGTATGATCAACTAATTTATTTTTCTATTCATGTAGACAAAGTAAGGAAGCAATTAATTTAAATAATCTGCATGCAATAATTAATGAGAAACAAAACTCATGAACCACTTTTCTTTTTTAAGTTTAGTTGCATGCAGACAAATAACTCAGAAAGCATCATCCAAAACACATGACCTTAATTAACTCTTAATTAGATGTAAATTATTTATTTTGTTGTATTGATTAAGTCGCTTCTATAGTTTATTAGCTAGTTAACTTGAGTTAAAGTGAATCTGCAGTTTTTATATTCAACGTAAAACTTTATAAACAGTATTCATTGAATAGGTTAAGATGAAGAAGTATGAAGTATCAATCATGTCAATTTGTTGGTTGCATTGCGTTCTCTGAAAGTGAATGGATTAACTGTGAAGTAGTCAATACTGTTTTGGATAACATTATCAGCTTCTTCTTCGGTGTAGAAGTCTATTTGAAGTAATATCTACTTCAGTTACAACTTTTTTGTACCATTAAAAATTAATCTTATGATAGAAAAAAAACCAATGTTTGACTTTCAAATGATCCATGAATCAGGAATTCAACTTCTAAATAGTTTTTACTAGAGAAATCGAAATCTCTAAATAATCTTTTTGACACCTAGCTGATAAAGATTATTATGATGCAGAATACAACTTGGTGATACTTATTGAAATATTCCAAAATATCAAAGTCCTATGGCACATTTTGATCCACTTAGCTAAGGGTTAAGGTGTTAGAAATAAGAGATCGTATATGAAATTGAATAGAATCTTTAACGACACAACACTATCCATATAGATTGATTACCGTTGGGGTAACAATGAAAATCAGAGGGCACTCGACAACTGCTTCGTCTGAGTATTTGTAGTGAGAACTCACGACCCATTCAGTGGTAGAACCCACGGCCTTCGTGTTTCTACGAGAACGTTCGTTGAGACTATATTTAACGGACGACCTTTGAGCGATTTCAAAGTGACCTTGAAAATGCCAATCTACAAACTAGGACTGAATGAAGGTTATAAATCTGTGTGAGAATTAGAATTCCGATTTATAGTTGATGGTTAGAATTAGGAATTAGATTTAGAGTTTACATCACCAAGTGACATCAGTTATAGTGCCAAAACGCTATTTAGACAAATGTATGAATGAATTTCGCGCCAAAATCCAAGACCTGTTATCTTATTTCTGATTGATTCGCCCGTAAATTATAGTCTCGTCGAACGTTCAACCAGTGGAGTTCATAAGTATCAGAAACTAAACAATTCTTACAACAGTGACATTATATGATTATCGAGATATTTCGCAAATAGATTGGTCTTGAAATCGAATCACTAATCACTAACTCAATAGCTTGGATTGAGAGATCTGAAGGTCAAAGTTTCGATCGCTTTTAGGATTGTGAATGCGATTTGGTGTGGAGTCTTATAATAGAATGAAACTGCTGTCTGATATCCTGTGATATACGACAATGCACTGGCTGAAATCAATGTGTCGAATACAACCTACAAATCAAATCAATCAACACAAAGTCCTTTAAACAACAATATTGAGTTAATTCCTATTTGTCCTTGGCAGATCATATTAACATCATCTGAACGCCTATGAAAATGACGAGCCTCAAATAAGACGAAACGTACGTCCTGGATTTCGCTGATGGACATCATCCATTTTTACTTACAATGAAATGAATAGTTTACAACCAAACTTGACACGGTTGCTACGGTGAATTGTTATTTTGTAGATTACTCATTCCGACTTTTAAGGTTTTGAATTAAATAATGAAAAGAAATCATAATCAGTGTCTTACCTAATGGTTATTTACAATATCATTTAATGAGAAATTTTATTTTCAAAAATTTCATAAAAGTTAATCATTTGTCATTGAGTAGATATAACAGGAAGGTGAAAAGATCATAGAAATTGTTCATTAATTTCCTTGTAAACCAAATTGTTATAGGGAAATGATGAAGAAAGGACCGTACTTTTAGCTAATTATGTCTTGAATGATTCAATGATATTTAAGGTTACAAAAATTGAAATTTAAGATTCTCTAAGAATGAATAAAGATTATGGCTTTGTAACTAACATGAATTCTTTTTTCGTGACCTGCACGGTCAATAATAATACATTCAAGTCATAATCATAGTATATTAAATAGATCACCAGTCATATCTGATTTCTCAGCTACACTGTTTATTATGATTGTACATTATCACGGAATCAGCCAGTTTAACAGATTATTTCCTTGATTTAGTAAAACTCATCAGTGATTATATTGAACATACCGAATTAACTTAGTTAGAAAATCATTGAAAAACCTGAAAGTAATGGACAGCTGTTTTGTCATAGTATTGGATTCCACAACAGTTTGTATAATCTACTCCATCATGAACCTTCAAGCCCTGTGATTAATGCTTAGCACTTGAACACTGACTCAGCATCACTTTGCAAGTTCAACTTCAAGTAAAATATAATGTTGAACAATCATCATTACATGTTCTTAGTGACTGACTTTCTCACATCCCACATGACTGAACTCCACTGATCATAACATATCTCATGACATATTTGCACACGCTGTTGGTTAGAATAGTGGCATTTGACTATTTAGAAAATCTCTAAAATTTATTAATATAACCACTTGAGGTGTATTAATTCAACATCTTAAACTCAGGTTAAGGAAAGTGCTTCAGTTGATAACATTATGAACCAGTGTAAGAAGAATTAACTAAATCGTATTCTCTACATCCTGATGAGTTGATTGCCCCCACTCAAAATTATGTTGAACTAAGATAACAGCTTTATTACAGAAACAAAAAACGACACATCAAGAAATTCATTGATAAACAGATACGTTCATGTTTATGTCATCCAAGTTGTTTAGAAATATCTTCCACTTTCTAGCATTTACACATAAAATCAATTAACTATTGTTATCGCATTTTCATCTTCGTCAATAATACTGAAATTAGTTACTTAGCAATAGGTTCATCCTTTATCACAACTGCAGAAATTATCTTCATCGTTGTATAATGAGAAGAAACCTGTCTATTTATATGGTCCTGTAGATTAACAGTCACGGTTCAGAATTAAGACTCTCATGCCGTCGTGTACGTACATTGTTGTAGAGCCCCATACTGAGACAAAATAACTGTCCGTTATTTTCCTTACTTTTCATTGATTGGCGAACAAAATTTAGTCTGTGGTGTGGAAATACAAATCCAAGAGTTTTCACATCATCCTCTAGCAACGTTTATAACCAATCTTCATTAATCATTTATGATATGGCAAGATTAAAAAAGTAAAATCAAATCAATGTAAAAACATATCAGTATAAAATATTTGATCACATAGTAAGTTATTGATGTATTGGTGTTAAAGATTACCCAGTTCAATCTGTACAAATCTGACTGTAAGCAAAATTATTGTATTCATAAATCATTTTTCTTTGTTTTGGTGGTCAAGTAAATTCATATCAGTAGTCTTTGTTTTTTTTGTGTACTTGGGTCTCCAGTACCAAGTACAAGACAGTTAAACATATCCAGCAAAAATTGATAGATAGATAGATAGATAGAACAATTTATTGAAGAATAAACTCAGTGTTTTATCATCTGATCGTTGGTTCCTAGTAAATACTACCAATCAGGTTGCAATGCTGACACCAGGATCAGGTGACTCGAAATCATGGTGAATGCCGTTTAATATTAAGTAGTTAGAAGCGTCTATAACAAACAATCGATTTACGTCCAAAAATAACATCAATAAAGCATGTTAATATCCATAAATTTTAACATATCATTTGTTTTCCTTTTTTTTCAAATTACAGTAAACTAAGAACACAAGCAATTCAACCAAATGCATGCATTAATGATCCAGGACCTACACCACAAGAATTAATCGATGAGTTAAGTTGGTCAGGTAGAAGTAATGAAGATTATTTATTGAATTTAAACGCTTCTATAATGGCTGAAAGTACACAACCTGTTAAGTAAGCTTTAAAATATATGTGTGTTTAGGATAAAATAGTAAATTGATCTCTCCTGATGATTTTCTATTCGTATATTTCTAACGATTTTGAAGTTAAAATAGAGTTTGTAAGCTAGCTAAGACACGATACTTACCAAACGTTCTTCATATACTTAGATAACAACTCGGTAGGTCATGATATCTTGGTCAACGTGCATTATTTTGCTGGTAATTAGAACTGCTAAACTGTACACTTCATTTCGCTGCCTAATGAAATATTTAGGCTTTGTATTTTGAAACTATGAAACTAATTTAGTATAACACACAAAATACATTCACTTTTGTTGAAAGCACGAAACCTATTGTGAAACTAATAAATCTAAATGAAGACGGCAGAACGGTTGGTAGATTTTCCTTTATATGCATTCCTTGAAGAGATATGTAGAGAATATATTAGAATTTATGCATTAAACGTGTTATGCGGTTCAAGAACGAGCGAAAAATTCCATTTTAGTAGATCCAGATCGCATGGTTTAAGTTGTTGCGTAACGTCGTTGAAGAACGTGTCATAACGGCGAAGATACATTTACTATTTTTATTCCTCTCGATCTTCAGTTATATTATTTTTTTTATATATACCTTTTCATTTCCTTCTACGTGAATCATACTCCCAATGTTCAGTCTGTTTCATTATTATTTTCACCATGATTATCTCAACTTGTTTACTATCCATTTTTCTAACTTCATCTTATCGTGCCAGTTTGATATGACAACTTAGGTCATTGCATATTTGTCAGACTTTTCGCAGATGATGACTAACTGACTTGAATAATTCTGTAACTGAAGATAAATTGTGAATAGACACTGTTAAAATATGTTTAGGTAGTTATAAATGGTATATCTGCATGATAAATATAAATATTTATAGCAGTATTGTATTTTTAGTATTGGAAATTCTTCCGTAGAATCAAGCCTATAGAATTCAATAAAATTATTAAAAGTATTAACCTATACACCACAGAAGAGTGATTTTCGTTTTCGTATAAATGAAGTTTATAAAATAGTATACATATATATGATACGATGAACGAGTTTTAGAAATATGGATAAATTAAATTCATCCTTGGTCATGACATAATATTCCACAATCAAGTAACTAACTACATGTAACCGATACTGGAAACCTCTGCCTTAATTTCGTTCTCATGCATAAAATAGAATATGTTCAATATTATGTCATAAATTCTGACGTAATAAATTATTTTCATAACTGTAATTTGACTATATTCTAATTCATTTACATTGCAGAAATAGATCGAGGCGACTTACAAGAATGAATATTTCAGAGGGAATTTTAAATTAAGCTGTGAATGGTAGTAAAGAAAACAACTGCATCTTAAAACGTTTAATACATTTAATACATTTTGATTGGAACAATTGAAATGAACTGAGTGTCTAATTGAAATAATAATAAATAAATTTAAATTTATTGGTTTTATTTTTTAAACTTAGAAGTAAAGGTATCATGTAATTAACTCGTAAAACTTGTTCTGTTTTAAATTACATTTACTTGCCACTATGGCTAAGTTCACTATTGAAACAGAATACCATCCATCTTATTCAAATAGGTGATTTGTTGTTAAGGAAGCTTGAAGAATTCAATAGTGAAGAGTAAACCTAAACTGTGTTTAGTAGTTAATAAGTATTACCAATTAAATATTAAAACCTACTACCGATTGGTTACTAAGTAGTACTCAGGGTCATGATTGTCTAATCCATTGGTAATATAATGGGAATTTTTCAGCCATTAGTAATTACTGAATTCTATTAATCAAGTTCCGGTGAGGCCTCTAGTCTAAGTGACTCAACTTTGCGTCCACTATGATGGGATGTTAGTTTGTTAGAATCAATCAGTAGGAAACCCTATATAACCAAGATTTCGTGGTGATTAACAGGGTGTACTTGCTGTCTTAAACAAACTGAGTCTCACTGTAAGATTGTGAACCCTAGTAACTAAGTTTGAGTTACCTTCGAGACTGTAGATACACCTTCTAATGTTTTGACAATTAAGTATTAAAAAGTCGTAAATATTATGTAACTTCAGAATCCTCTTAATAAAACGATTTTCACAGTTGATTAAAAGAAGGTGGGAAAAAATCGTCAGTAAATAAACCTAACGGATTGCTCAGTTAAGACCTCAGACTTTTGTTATTGAAATAACATGCAACAGTTATTGTATTTCTTTTGAACCACTAGTCTTCCTTATAAATTCGTCAGTCAATATAAGATCAAAATTGTATATATCATTCCTAGAAAGTGCTTAGGTTATCCCATAGTTGATGCTAAGGACTGCGCTAAGATTTGTACATCCTGTGAGGATTGTTTCTCCATAGCTATTTAGTTAGTAAATATTAGAACCGCGATGCAAGTACATCTAGGTGAGAAGTGTCAAATAGGAATGAACACGTTTCTAGGATTAGATTTCCAGTCATAATACGTCTATTCCAGATACAAATCATGTGTTATAACTTCTCACTATCATTTAGATCAGTGAATTCCCTATGGAAAAACGTTGTTCGAGTATAACAAACAATTTGAATTATTTAAGGAATTATAAACTGATATTCTCCCATAAAGTTAGTGGATTTTTCAAGTTAAGCATTTACAGCAATGATTAACAGTCTTAACTGAGTTCAGAAACATCTGTTTAGTTTTCATTAAAAATTTTAAATATATAACAAAGAAAGTAAATGTATGACAAACACCAATTACAGATTGTTAAATGATGAATAAAATTAAAAATTATATCTTGTTGTATACATTATGTAAAAGGTAAGTGTTATTATCATTGGACTGATATTCAAATAATAGAAACATTTGTTCCTATCTAATAAAAAAAATCATGAATTTGTTTCTTACTACTAAGATTTAATGACTTCACTGATAAAAGAACATCAGGTGATTAGAATAGAACAGAAGACATCTTAAAAAGATAAATACAGGAAATAGTAAAATTAAATTGAAATGTTTTCATTCATATAAAACTGAAAAGATTTCATTTCTTAATATACTATAGGTGCATGATGCCTATGGAATATTTTGATTTCTCTAGAGTTAGAAATACAAACAAATGAGCCCCAACTTAACAGTTTGAATGTGAAGAACTCGCCAAACGAATCAAAGCTCTTAAATTTGATCTCGAATGTAGTCGTCAGTGTACGCTGTTGATGAATCATGTACTAGAATGAAACAGGTACTAACTAAAAATTATTGATACAAACAAATTTACTCAAATATCTATCGTGTGGATTATAGGGAATACGGAAGCAGTATAGCAATAACAAATATACTTTGAGTACAAGTTTGCTTAATATATATTTCGTATCTATTAAAAAGTGGCTTGTAATATATTCGAAGAGAGGCGTTTTATTTTACAAGGAACTCAGTAGCTGTATGCACATACATTCCCACTGTTGATGTTCATACTAAGTTTTGAACTCACTATCTTTCGCTTCAAACATCAATGAGTCAAAAATTGATTCATTTAGCCTGTAGCATGTTTAAGCAGAGTAAATTTCATTTATAAGGGTTTGCATTTTCTTGTTGTTGAAGTTAAGACTTTCAACTGATCTGCCCCTAATGACATATGTGATCATAAGTGGGTTCATTCGATAGTACCAATTAGCCAAATGTTTTTGTAAAACAAACACTTACATATACAGTTTATACTCATCACCGAAGCTATTGGCTCTCTGAACTCAGTGGTTCCTAGATATCACATTAGCATTTGGGGCAAACGCTATTGATTTCGAGTTTCAGTGTAGAAAACAACACTAAGGTTCAGGTGAACCCGACTAACGAATCTCAGATAAGATAAAACACATCCTGAATTTAACTGTTAGCTTTCATAGTGCTTCAATAAAAACTTGCGACCGAATCACAAAAAATGATTCATTCGTTGCACATGCCAGTAGCTAACTGAACTCCTTAGATCAATCGTCATTACAATGACATTTGAAAAGAAAGATACCAGGGATTTAGTTTCAGTTTAAACATCTAAAATGGCTATATAAGTACATGCACACCATGGAAGCCTTTATAAATATAATAATATCTTTAATTTGAATTTGGCAACAAACTTATGACTATTTTGAATGATATGAAAATCTATTGAAATAAAGAATTAGTTTTCTTTCTTAACATTTATACTTTCGTTAATTTCCGCAATTAGACACATACTTGTATACATACATGTATATTGTTACTTAATTACAATTGATTACAATGTAGAATAATAATAACAACAATAATTTGTATTCTATAAATAAAGAATTTTTTTTCCATTTTCTATGGTAATATCCAGTTAATGTACCAAATTATAAAAGTTCAAATACATTTTTATTGTTTGTTCTATTCAGCTATCTCACTTCCACTCCCTCTCTCTCTCTCTTTCCATACCTCTTTTTTTTCTCTTTACATATTATGAATTAAATAAACATGTTACTAAATTAGATGCAAGACCGATGGAGAAAGCAAATAAACAATAAATTGCGGTAGGTACCATATGTAACACAATAGTGATTCTTTTTATATTGGATCAACATTAAACTTTGTTAGGTTTAAAGGTGAGAAATAAAAAAGTGAGTGTAAGAAGTATCAGAGAGAATAGCTATATATATATATATATATATATATATATATATATATATATATATATATATCCATTAAAGAGAGGGAGAGAAAAAACAATATATTCTTTGCTTCGACTGTTTGCTTTTTACGGAAAAAAGATTATTTTTCTGGTTTCATCATCATCATCATATATTATGCATGCAAAAACAGGAATAATTGTTTTTTTATTACAAAAAATGAACATCGTGAAATAAATAAGACACAATATTAACTGATAAGAATAAGAATGAATAACTTGAAATATTAGATAAGACTAGAAATGAGATATATAGTTTATATGAAGAAAGGAAATCATTTAGTTAAGCAGTTTCTGGAAATCCATTCCACTAATGTGTCCTCCGCTCTTTAATATAATTTACATTTCAGTTCACTTAATGATTTTCAGAGAAAGTAGTGTATCACCAATCTGACTACTAGCTTCAACTTATATAAATAATCTATTTATAAGTGGTCTATTAAGATAAATCATATGAATATATGGTCGCTTGATAACTATAAGAATATTGATTAAAATTAGAAGCCAAACCTAGATTATTATTTAGGATAGCCTAACAGAATTTAAAATTAATGACTAGTGAAATAATATGAGTTATAGTCTTCTGATCGTTTGAACTTAACAAACAAACAAATCAAATGAACATCTGTAGGTTTTGTTCGTTACAGACTGATCTCGCTAAAGTTATCATTGGGGGTTAGGGAACTCTGGACACACGTTTCACACTAGTGTAGGAATCCTCAGTAGTGGATACTCGTAAACACACTAGGGATAGTTTAGCTAGGTCACAGACCGACTGAAGTTGGGACTGTACCATTGGAGGCTTACCTAGTGGTTACAATGGTTAAATGTTCACCGCGAGAACTGGTGATCTTCTTGCATTCAATTCCTGGCGTGTTCGTATTCTGTATTGAGAGGTCCCATGATTCGAAGAATAAGCTATCCGGTATTTTCTGATCTTCAACGGAGGGAACCTATCAATTAAAACCGATATACATAAAACATGTCCATCTGAAAAATAAAAATTTGATTCCCATTGTAAATGTCTTTTATTGAATAGCTTGAATAAGGTTACTTACTCAACAGTTCGTTTAACGTCAGTTTTTGATCATCATGACGAATATCTGTGGCTATACGATCAGATAATAGTATATGTGATGGATTCTATTCATTGACTGAAATGTATTTAAAGTCTGACTGACAGTTGATCCAGATAAACGACACCTGCCTAGATAAAAAAACAAGTACCTCAGAATATACAAGTTTCAATTTTGTTGATGAATTAAGTATTAGCATTGACACGTACTGAATTTACTGCAATTATTCGCTTTAACAAAATGAGGTAATTTAAAACAATTCCACCAACCATGTACACTTTTTATCAGTGATTCACTACTTTTCGCTTAACTCAGTTTATTTTATCTTCACTATTTATGTAATTAAATTTTTTATATATTTGAGTTTAATTTAAATTCATTAAAAAACAATTTGTTGTTAGTACTCTAATCGGAATCATCAATGTAACTTAAACGTAAAGCAGATTAGTAGACTAAAATGATAAATAGATACTTGCAGTAAAATAGGGTTGTTTTAATGTAAATCACTTAATTATAATACTGTTAACACAGTTCTCGATAATATTTTAATTGTTCAACAAACGACAATAAAAAGAAAATTATAATTAAACTATTCGGTTTACCGAATTTAATTTTTTTTAAAATCATTCACGTATTTTAATAGTTACGTTTTTAAATTATAACATAAACTAAACGTTAAGTATAATTATTGTCAAACAGATT